CCGTCTCCCCCTTTTCACTGGGCGCCTCCCTGACACAATAGGAGGCAGGAGCAAAGGAGGAAGGGAGGAGGGCCGAGGGGGAGGATAAGGGGGACACCCAGGCCTCTGTGACTTCCCAAGGACTTCTGTCAAAGCTGGAAGTGTCCGCATGAACCAGATAGAAGTGGAAACTGGCGCCTGAAAGCTAGAACACATGTTTTACTTTAGAAAAGGAAGAATTGAAGGAATGGTTTTCTTCTGTTTTATTGGTTCCTTCTTCTCTTCGTTTTTAGGTGGAGGAAACACAAATTAAACAGTGCCAGGTCTGCATCTCACGTCCTTGCACACTATCTTACAGTGAAAAGACCTGAAAAATCCAGACTTCCAAAGCAACTCTTGCCCCAAGGATGTAGAATAGCTCTCTTCCCACCTCAAGAATGAAGGACACGTTCTCCCATTGCTCCAAGGATGTAGGCTACCTTTGCTGCTCACCCTGAGGATGTAGGACAAGTGCCTTCCCTGCTACTCTTTCTGTCCAGACTGCAGCCCCCTCCTGATTTGGAGATTCACCCTTCCCCCCTCGATGCCCGCCAGTCTGTTCTGAGGGCCACCGTCAGCCCTTCCTGTGCTCCAACTGTGCTCTCTCGGAGCCTGCAGAGGCCTCCATCACCTGCCTGGTCTCTCTGACCAGGCTCTGCCACCTTTCTCATCCCCCACCCCCAAGCAAGCCACAGAGATGCCCTGCACTCCTGCCTTGGGCCTCTCTGCCCACTGTCCCTTCTGCTGGTGGATCTTCCCTCCCAGGCAGCTGCAGCCCGGCACCCTCTGTCTGGAAGTCTGCTTAGTGAGCTTTGCACAGAGGCAGCCCCAGCCATCCACCCCCCTTCTCACTACTCACCCATTCATTTAGAAATGCCTTTGACCTCTGCTCTGCAATTTTTGTCTCATAATATCTTAGGGGTACTCTTGTTCATGTTTAAGAATCAGCACTGAAATATAGGAGCTTATGGGTCAAGGAAAAGATAAAATGAATCTATACCACGTGAGGCATAAGTATTTTGTTACTCCAAAGCCAGTTCTGGATCTTTATGGGTGATTCTCTGCCCCCAATTCAGCACGGTCCCGTTTGTAATCACTGTTTCTTCCTCCCACAGGGGGGGCTCAGCGCCCAAGCTTTTGTCCGCGTGGAGCTGGAGGATGTGAATGATAATCACCCTGTGTTTAACCCGTCGACCTACATGACCAGCATCAGTGGGCAGACCCAGCCGGGCTCCGAGATCATCCACGTTCTGGCCACGGACAGGGACTCTGGGGTCCATGGGACCGTGGCATATGAGCTCATCCCAGGACAGCAGTCGTCCATGTTTACCATCGACACCACCACAGGTACGTGGTGGGAAAGGCTTTCATCCTCTGCTGTTCAGCGTCTGCTTAGCTGAAAAACAAGTGATTCATTTTCACTCTCAGGCATGGAATGGAAGTCAGCCACCCATGGAACAGTGGGTAGTTGGAAAGGGTCAGGGCTGCGTCCTCAGGCAATGCCTGTCCCTGGGTTCCGGCTTGGCTGGTGATTGATTTTGAGGTGCTGTTGGCCCACATTTCCTTACACGGCAAGTTGTTCTGATAGCACCAGTGCTGTAAGGTTGCTGGAGGACTAGAAGCTGTAGTGTGCAAAGAAGCCATAGCAATGGTTCTTATCTTGCTAGCTTTGCACTTCCCTTCCTTTTCGTGAGCACAGCACCAAAGGGGGAGCGAGCCTCATGGTGCATCAGCAGGATGGGGCACAGGTCCCCTGAAGATGCTCTCCTTTGGGCCAGGTCTAGCAACCGCTTGGCTCTATGAATCTCCTTGTCTTTAAAATGATATGCAAAACTCCTTTTAGTTCTCTAACATGAGAATTACACATCTGAGGGCCAGCAAGATAGCTCAGCCAGAGCACAGCACAGGGACCAGGGGGTGATCCGGCCCTTCCCCCAGCCATGCTGAGCCAGTGACTGAGTCTGGCTGTGGTGGCCCACTCCTATAATCCCAGTGCTGGGGAGGCTGAAAATACAAAGATTACTATGAGTCTGAGCTGTGTAGTGAGACCCTGTACCAAATACATAAAAATTTTAAAAATAAGTAAATAAAAGAATTACACAGCTGTGAAAGAAATCCAGTGGGCAAAGAAGTCTTCTAGAGGTAGCAGTGTTTATTAGGTGATTTTTCCTCTCCTACTGGTTTGTTGCTAGTAAGATATCTTCTTTTTACAGGAAAGCATTGGGGCTGGGGAGATAGCTCAGTGGTCTAAGTGCTTGCCTAGGGAGCGTAAGAACCTGGGTTCAGTGCCGTGCTGACCCTGGAACCCCGGGTGTACCATGCCGGCCACCAAAACTGGGCATGGTGGTGCATGCGTGTAATCCCAACACTAAAGGGCTGAGACAAGAGGACCACTATGAGCCAAAGCTGTGTAGCGAGACCATGTACCAAATAAATCTTAAAAAATGATTTTAAAAATTGTACAAAAGAAAGCACAGACTTTCAAGTATCATATATGATATTATATAATACATTGAGATACTGCGATCCAAAATCAAAGATACAAAAGCAGAAGACCAAAACATTGTTTTTATTTTACATTTCTTCATTCAATATGAGAAACTAGTAGAATGTGTTTCTTTTGTAATGATGGTGACCATGCCAGAGACGACAGTAGAAGTTCTCTGTATATTGTCCTACTGGATCTTCACGATACCTTTGCAACAGCCTCATGCACTAGAAACACAATAATTTACACAGAAAGTGTCCTTTACCCAGTTAGTTTGCCCTGTCACACAACCCCACTGTCCCTGGTCATGCCTTTTGTCTGGACAGCATGTCTGCTCTAGGCTGCTGGCTGGGAAGTTAGTTGTTGACAATGCAGCTTTTGTAAGGCAAACCTTCCCTTGCTCAAAATAACCCCTTCAGCATTTCAGATATTAGAAAAAAATACTTTTGTAGGAATTTAGTCTACTTATCTTGGCTTTTTCAAAATTCATCTCAACTGAGGACCTTAACTGTCTGTCAAATCATCAGACCCTGCAGGGCATTAGCATTGCCAAAAATATAGAGGCCAGCCAATAATCAGGGTAGAGATCTAAAAGCATATAGCAGATTTTTTATGAGGACGTCAACACACTCGTCATTCAGTTTCTCCTGGAAGAGCTTCAGGAAGGAGCTGCTGACTTCGTCTTGCAAAGAGATCTGTGTTGCCACACTGGCCCCAGCGAGCCCTGTGACTTCCTGGCAGCAGCTACAAGACAAATGCCTCGGCTGGTCTCCGAGACCAGTTTATGTGAGTCACTATCTAGGGAAGAATCACAGTGAGGCAAAGGCTGGCCTCGTAATGGAAGCAGCCTTGGGTTACTGTTGTTGGCAATTTTGATGCCTGTGCATTTAGGTGAAAGAGATTTATCGGGCAAACAGTGCCTGGAATTTGTTTATACTTAATCACAACTCATGAGAGATTCATGAGCCCTGAGAGCACTTTACTCATACCTTTGGAGGAGAACAAAATAACGCCATGACCCTCTACTGGAGCAAAGCAGCAGGCAGCCTCTACACTACGCTGTTGAACTCGAGAAGGAGTGTGTTGAACCTGAGAACACCTTGAATACATTCGTGGTGCACCAGGTGATGCTTTGATACATCTATACACTGTGAAATAATCAAATCAGAGAACTGGCATCCATCCTCTCATACACTTAATTTTTTGCAGCAAGGACATTCATAATTGACTGTCTTTACTATTTTCAGGTGTAGAAGGTCATCATTAAATATAGTCATCATGTTGTAGAACAGACCTTAAGGCCTTATTCAGCCCATCTAGCTGCAGCCTTCTGCCCTTGACCATCTTCTCTTATTTTCCCCAGCCCCAGCTTCTGGCAGCCACCTTTCTATTTGCAGCTTCTATACAACTGACAATTTTAATTCCATGTGCAAGTGAGACCATGCAGAATTTGTTTCTCTGGGCCTGCCTTATTTCACTTAGCATGATGTCCTCATGTTCGTCTGTGTTGATGCAGATGATCGAATTCTCTTTAAGTGGCTGAACAGCATTCTATCATGCTTATGTGTCACATTTTCTGTATCCACACATATACTGATATGCGCATGGGTTAATTCCGCATCTTAGGTATTGTGTAGAATGTACATTGAACACAGAAGTGAGCTGTGTCTTTGACATGCTGATTTCACTTCCTTTGGATATGTAACTAGACATGGGCTTGCCATTTGTAACATTTTAAAGAAACCCCCTGATGTGTACTATAATGACTGTATGACATTTTCTGTATAAGACTGTCCTCAAAGAGCAGAGCAGAAACATTATGGAATATGATTATCCCCTTCTGGGTCTGTTTTTGTTTGTTTTGTTTTATAATACATAAAGCTGGGGTTTCCGAACTCACCATAAGGCCAGTTTCCTACTAGGCTTCCAGTACAAACACAGTCTAAAGAAACTGCCTTTATGAATAAGTGAAGTCTAGAAACAATGGGAAGCTTATTGAAACCCTTACTACATCCCCCTAAGAAATTCCGTGGGCATTTCATTGATAACTTGCAGCAAAACTTAATGACTCGCAGCATGCTGGTGGCGGTAAGGCTCCTTACTCCGTCTCAGAACTCTCTCTCTCACACACTCTGTAGCTCGCCTAAGCAGGCACATACTCTTCCCCACCACACTAAGGGCTGAGCACAGGGAACACGGAACAACTCCCCCAGTCCTTTAATGTGTATATATCTTGGGGTAGGATCTCTGTAAGTGGCCCAGGCTGTCCTTGAACTTGTGATTTTCCTGCTTCAGCTGTCCAGTAGCTTGGATTAATTTTTCCCCTTGTTTCTGTATTTATTCTTTCCTCTTCCAGAGTAAAGCCCCAACTTTTACAATGGGAACTTTTCAAACTACTCTCAGTACCTTTCAATTATTCTTCTGCTTTTTTAACCTAAGTTCCAACCTAGGAGGGTGGAAAACAGAGTTGTATAGTGTAAGAATGCTGAAACTTGAGCCCACTCATATGTTAATACACTCTCCTGAGTTACTTTAAAATTTCTCCTTTTCTCACAGGTTCATTCATCCTTTCATTTCGACAATTTCTATCCCAGGCATGCCACTTTGAAGGCTTACGTAACTTGCATGTTAGGCTCATGTTTTCCTGAAGACCAGAGTTTTGCATTGATACATTTGTGCCATCAACAGGCCGATGCACTAAAAATAGAGCTCTTTGACTTACTGTACTCATCTGGTAAGAAAAATGTTTTGGAAAAAGCGAGAATGGGATGTGGCCATGTCATGGTTCTTTTGTCTTGTGGGTTTATCTTCCTGTTCTGGTTCTGGTTTTCTGAGTTTGTTGTTGATTCAAAGAACATTTTTGTATGATGTGCTAGGCACTGGGAGAGCGATACTGAGGGGAGCCTTCCTTCGCCTGCTCTGAGTCTGCAGCTTGCTTTGATGTGGGCACGAGGCAAACCACACTGCTTTGAGCTTGAAAAGGAAGAAACACAGAGACATGTTTATTAATAGCTCTTTGTTCATGTATTTTTAATCCCACTTTATAAATTACATCTAGATATCCCCCTCATTTTTGAAGTGCTCTAGTAGCATAAAAAGAAATTCTACTTTTTTAGCTTATTTGTTTAAATTTTGAAACTAAGGAGAAATGTTACTTTCTAATTAATTCAGACAAAGGTGACAAGGAGATTTGCAGTATTTGCGTTGGCCATTCACTGTCACTCCAAACAACTTCTTTTATTAGGGCTACCTCTGGTTATATTTTTGTGGTTTACCTCTTTGTATGGAAGCAAGTTAATGACATAAAGACAAGTCAATAAAAATTCTACGAGAATGTAGCCTGTCTAGTCCCAGCAGAAAAATGGGAGGAAAGAAGATTACTCTGGAAGCACTGGTCCAGTGCTTACTGCGTATCAGGCAGCATTTAGGCACTGGGAATACATCCGTGCATAACACGGGCACAGACCCTACTTGCTGGTGCTTACAGTGGTGAGCGTGGGCCCCAGTACTCCTGGTCAACGTGTGGTTGTGTGTTCACCAAATTCACAACCACAAATATCCAAAGCATAGCAGCAGAGGCAGCTATGCTTTGTATTTGGTTGCAATCTTCCGTCTTCGTGGAATGTGTGGGCTTGTACATGAACTGTAGGTAATGTAACACAGACGGTGTTTTTCCTTATTCCAAGGGCAGATTCTTTCCTAGTGCTCAAATTTCATACTCTGTAGTGAGTCTCATGTTTTCCCATGATTGCTGCTCTCCTGAATTTGACACTGATGTTCTGCTGTGTGGTTAAAAAGTTAATACCACACCACTTTTTATAACAGATAGGCACGTGCTTCTGCCAAATTAATGATGGCT